TTGAAATGTTATTAGATGACATAAACGTTTACAAATCTGAAAGCTACACATTTGCAATCAATAAAGCCAATCAAAATATCATTTCAATAATATTATGTACACACTTACATACATACGTAGACATACAAAGAAAACATCGTAATGCACAAAGAGACACTGGAATTGTGTTATGAGGAGTTGAGCAGAAAGTGTCCATTGTATTTGCCAACTTGACACAAAATGTCGCAAGCAATATCTTTATCTGGCCGAAAGCAAAACAATCGGCGAAATCAAAGCATACATAGACGAAAATTATGCGTACGAATGTGTGTTGCATACTTAACGGCGCATGAGATGCTTGCTTTCAGGCAGATAAAGCTGCGAGTGTGTTGATTTTTTTGTATTTGCACGTGTTGCTTTTGTTGTTATAACATTTAGGGTAAATCGTCATTCGGCCACTTTCACTTTATGTTCTGTTATTTGCTTTCCCTCCCGGCTGCTGTAACTACAATTATGGATGCTACCCGATCATAGTCACTATATATATTGTTTAATTGATGAAATGGTTGAGAAGCTACCACATATTAATCGAACATTTTATATATATGATGAATATGAAAGTGAAAGCCGAATATTGTTGCCTCCAAACTGGTTCGGCTGGGTCTAATGGAACAAAAGACTTAACGCGAAACTTTAAATGCGTTTTTCTCAGACCAGACTTTTTCAATACGATATCCACGATTTCTCGAGTTTTACTTAAAATTTTCAGTTTTACTTAAAATTTTCAGAGAATCTTCTTTATAGACTTTTCTCGAGTATAAATTAGCCTCATCCCAGATTTTTTCATTTCAGATGACTAGGAGGGTTGAAATCATAGGTATGCTCATGTGCAGCCAGTTTTTTAAATTTTTTCTGTACTTTTGCAACATTAATAAAAAACTGATAAAAAATCGATTGTAAAAATATTGATTGCCTTTTTTTACGACACTTTAAAAATTGCCTAAAATTCATGTCTCTATACTATAATATCCCTTTAAGTTAGTCATCCTATGAATCAATTAATTTTTCGACGCTGTAGGTGCTTCTCTGACTTTATCTAAACACGCGAGGTTATTCCCTGCTTTGCTCGCACCCTTTCGCAAATGTATTCCCTTAATTTCCCACTAAACATTGTCTTCCTGTAAAATTTTATTTTCAAGCTAATCGCCAAGCTGTAGATTGCTTTGAGATAAGTCTGAGCTGGAAGTTGGCCAACTAATGTGAGTCCGTGTTCCCAAGAAATATTGCGCGCCGAACGGTCCAATTCACGTGCAAAAGGTTCCCCATTAACTGTAACACTATGTACGGCTTTATTTTTGAAGAAATATGGACGAATGATTCTCTCCGCCCATAGAGCAGACGAAACACTGAAGAGTGACATTTTGAGGATGTAACGACGTCTCAACAAAGGCTTATAGACTATCATCATGTTCGGCTGCAATTATTGCACAAGTTGGATTTTGTAAGTCTGCAAACCAACATCCTTACACCTTACTTAGGTGGTATCTTTGAGGATGCACTTTATTTACTAGAGCATACTGATCCATGATTGCTCGAATTACCGACTCTGCTGACCAATTATGTCGACCGAATATTAAATGCAGCGCGCGTTGCGTCACGCGAACCGAAATAATATTTTGGTAAATAATGGGGACGGCTAGTGTTTTTATATGAGTTCACCTCCTTTTATATGAGTTGTACTATCTCTGTATTCAAATTTTTAGACGCATATCTTACGCTTTGGTCTTTTTGGTGCTTAAAAGGGAAACTAATGGTCGGTTTAATAGCAGAAATTATTTTCTCAAGAGATCAGTGGGGCTTATACTGTATCACCCTTTAGCAAAATACCTGAATATTGTTCGAAAAGCGCTTAATTCTCATGTTATTGAGCACACATACAAAGCCATGGTTGATGTTACATACGATTCGGCATATTGTGTCTGGATCCAACTGAGATCATTCCTCTGGTGATATATGTATATTATGCATATCTGTGTCCATTTTATTGCCAGAAATAAATCGTAAAGTTAATCAAACGTATCGAAAACACATTAAAATTCTAAGTTTCAATGAGCTTCTCATTAAAAAGTATTTGGCAATAAATAAGTTTCGAACATAAATACTTTTATATGATACAAAATAAGGGCCTAGAATGGGCAACATATTTTTTATTTTCAAAGCCTCCCATTAGAATTCATATATATATATTTTTTTTTTTATCTACACAGCTAATATCGTTGTAATAAATATGAATATATCTAACAACATACTTACCTATCAATAAGCTTCTTGCATGTGTAAGTTCAATCTCGCGGACGCCTTTTAGCTTCTTCAACACACGTTTTATAGCCACAAAGTATGCAATGAAAAGCAATAAAAAATCGAACAATATACTCGTACTTGAGTATGTGTGTAAAAGTAATTCGCCTTTGATATACCGAAATTTGCTACGATTTATGATGACACGCGGTAATAAAAAAAATCATAACCTTTAAGCTTAACTACTTAAACGGAGCCACATGAGTGCTTACTTTTTTACTTGAGTACGTATAAGCGCTACATACGGCAGTACGCTTACTCAAATAAGCGCTTAAATCATATCAAACGTCATATTGAGCATACGCCAATGGCGGAGCTTTCACTTGGAACTTACAAGTATTTATTACTTTAGTGCAAAAAAAAAGCTATCAATACACTATACATAAATACGGTTTTCTTTTTGTTGTTATTGCCACAGTGGCATCTATTAGCCATCTACTAATTTCCAGTCAATTTATCAACACATTTGTGTTGTAAGCTTTCTGCAGCTTTCTTTTTTGTTTTATGGCTTTACCCAATGATAATGGGCTCAGATAAATAATTGAAAGTCTATAAATTATATGAAAAACGGCAGCAATCATGTTGATGACCATTTAACGGTTTTGTACGACTCGTCTGCTTGCTGAAACGTAACACCATTTTCCGTAACCCCATAAAAAAGCTTTAACCTACACATGAGTAACATATACATAATATGTATGTACATACAAGCGGCAAAAAGTGACTCCGAAAATTGAAACCGAAAAGAAGTTGAAAAAACTTGAAAATGCCACTTTGGACTCCATTTATGAAGTTATTAGTAATTTTTCCTGCTTCATTAACTTTATCCTCTATATATGCTTTTTAGTGGTATACTCGTGTATGTGCTTGCTTCTCTCGTTGGCTGTCATTGCCTTGGCGGAAAAAAATTCGAAATCGAATTAAGCGCACAAATGAAGGAAGCATTTTAATGAGTTTTATTTATTTGCATTTGCATTTTCGCTTCTTGCTTTTTGCTGTTCTTTATTCTTCACTTTGGAGTCTGCAAAGTTTTCAGCTAAAAGACCACCACGACTATAGCTTTCGCCGTATGTGTGAAGCGTATGTTCGTATCGTCAAAGAAAAAGCATTAAAAGTTTTTGCAATGCATTCGATGAGTCTTATTACTATTCGGATTATAATTAAGAATCGATATTTCTGTGAACTTTTCATGTTCACAGAAAAGTTGTGCTAAATGAGACTCTATTAATTAAGTACTTATGTAGTTTGTGTGAAGCCAAAGCGGTAGAGTTAGGGGTAAATTAACTGTATACGAGTGCAATATAATTGTATACCATAGATAAGTGGTGGGTGTTGGAAAGTGTTTTTCGAAGAAAATTGTTTTGAATTTAGCAGTCGGTAGATGGCGCTATGATCGAGGTGTTTAGAAAGCTTATTTATGCGCGATTTTGGTACAGCTTTGAAATATGTATATTATCTATCGTAAACGAGAACTATTTTATCGCTTTTATTCACTTTTCTTATACCCACATTAACATTAAAACTTTATTAACAATTTTTGTATAACGAGTGTTAAGATATTACTCACTAGATGGCGCTAGAATCAAAAATGTTCACTGAGTACCAATTGTTTGTTATTACAATGGTAAGTGGGTAAGAAAAAAATGAACCAATAATTACATAAAAATTTCCCCAGCCTTTCTCCAGAAATCTTACAAATATCCTTTTTATGTGGTAGATTTCACAACGACTCGCTTTTGTACGTCCCTACGCCGTTCATCGCACTTATTGGGCGGTGGTGATGTCAGCTTGTAGTCGTACGAGGTCACTAATCAGCTAAGCAGCGGCTCTTTCCAAATGTGCCGCTTAATTTCTCTTTCTTTAAAACACTCCAAATGCATATCCTCAAATCGTTATCCAAGCACAGTCGCAGGAAGTTCACATTCTCACTTTAGCTCGCCTTAAATCAGATATTTTTTTGGGATACTTGGTTTAAGTCCGTAATCTACCCGAACTATTTATAAACGGATCGTTTCTGGCCGCTTCCAGATGAATAGCAGTCAAAAACTTTCCTTACTTGCGTGAACTTCTACACATGACCCCATCTCTAAGAAAAATACAACAGAAGTATATTTTCTTCTTCGATATTATCGGTAGAATTTTAATTTTTTAATTGTAGTTGTGTTCAGTCCACAGTTTGGTAGAAAATTACTAATATTCCAATATGTAACGGCTGGAAAGTACGTTTGATCATAAAAATTCAACAGTAACTTTCTTTAGTATAGATCTACGACAAGACACAAGAGATATCTAGAGACATCTGCTGTTCAAGGTTGGCCAAAACACCGTAAGCTCGTACGAGACCAAACTTTCTAGAAATATGCCGCAAGAAAGTAGCGGAACTCCAACTTGTTTCCTATTTTAGGGTATTGCATTTAAAGTTGATCTCATTGCAATCTTCTTAGTTTTACAATTTCCTCTAATTCCACCATAGTACAATTTCTTTACATATATACATATTTTAAAAGGGATTTATATACATATATACATATACATATGTACTCATATGTATTGATCCTTTTACTGTTATTAAAATACTACAATATAAACGAAGAAAATACTAAGTAATCAATATAATAACTAAATTCAATAAGATGAATTTAAATAAAGAATTGAATACACACCCTTGCACTACATGCATTTTATGCGCACCCTAATTAAAACTCACCTCAACACAGCTTTGCCCAACAACTCCACAAACAACCAAAGCAGATCACGCGAAAACATGCACTGCCTAACTGCGCGGGCGACAGTTATTTTTCATTGAGTAAACAAGAGCGCGTGCAAAGCAATTGAAAGTGAAAATGTGTTAATAAAATGTGTATAATACTAAAATTATAAAAGTGTTTAAATAAATTAAAACAAAATATATAATTTCGGAGTAAAAAAGTGAAAGGTGTGAAATAATAAGTGCAAAAAGTGTATGTGTGTAAGTGTAATGAGAAAAGTGTTTGAAATTATGTAAAAAGCAAGTCCAATGGCTTATTGGAAATTCAGTAATGAAAATATTAAAATTAGTGTAATATTTAAATCTAATAAGTGCAGTATGTGTGAAGTGTAGTGCTATTTGTGCGTTGATTTGGTATAAATACCATAATGGTACTTATGTGTTCATAAAAATAAGTCGATTTCCACTTCTTACCGCAAATATGGTAGTTATTGAATTGAAAACAATAATTGAAAGCGTTTTTGTTTTAAGTTTATTTATACATACCTGTGTATTGAATTACATAAAAAAGTTGTAAAAGGTGACTGAAATTCAAACACGATATGTTTATGGTAAGTACGTATAGTAAAAGTAAATTGTATTGTTAGAATGCACAAGGGTTGAGTTATAAGGATTATGAAGTAAAATTTTCCAATTACGGGTTTGCAAATAGTTTCTAATCGGTATTGCAACATGAGGCGATGTCATGATGGATTGCCTCGTGTCTAGTTGCGAATTTCAAGCAAAATACAGGGCATTACAATGGTGTCGTGGATATTCCGCTTTGCCGTTAACTTGGTTGTCCATACTTCACATATGATTTTTTTTGTATTTAGAGTTGTAGTAGTGGATCCACTTTTGATTACCAGTTACAACTCGGACCAAAATTCTTCTTAGTTCTCCTGCTTCTACTGTTTCGCAACCAGTTGCAGGCATAAGTTTTAGATTTTTGAAACTTTTATTGTAAAAAATTTACAAAATAAAAAAACGTTAACTTCGGTTGCACAGAAGCTATAATACCCTTCACAAATACAAAAGGTTCCTTACAAGAACTTGAATGTGCTATTATGATCCGATCTGAACAATTTCATCGGAGATTACATAACTAACTTCGGCAATAATCCATGCCAAATTTGGTGAAGATATCTCGTCAAATGGGAAAGTTTTTCTTCCAAACACTCCTATCGTTCACTGGGTATAGCAGTTATATGCTATAGTGGTCCGATATCGGCACTTCCAACAAATGAGCTTTTTGAAAAGAAAAAGACTTATGAAACATTTAAGATCGATATCTTAAAGATTGATGGACTAGTTCTCGTATAACCGTCAAACGGACTTGGCTTAATCGACTCAGCTCTTCATGCTGATCATTATAGGATCTCCGACGTTTTCTTCGGTGTGTAGTAAACATCCTGTTCAGGGTATAATGAGATAATTATTATAATATTTCGATTAAAATTCCCCACGAGAAGTCATACATTTTATAATTCCACGCCATACTTAGCTCTCCTAAACTTTCCTGCTACTAAATGGTTAAGCAGAGTTTGCCACTTATTCTCTTACTTTTCATCTTAAAACTGGATAGCGTGTAAGTCAGTGTATTTTTCTCACATTTATTTGTATGCTGTTGTTGCTGTTATTGTTGTTGGTGACATGTCATCACTCACTTGTCAGTGCGTGTTGGTTTCTACAAGCAAATGAATAAATATGTATACACACGTTAGAGTATCGACTGAGTGATGGATAGTTGTAAGCCTCAAGGTGTGTCTCCATAGCCATACATATCTAAGTAAACATAATATGTAACTATGATCATATGTGTGTTTAAAAATATTTTATGCAACGTTAAAAACAACAGCAGCACCAACAGCTCCGACAGACAAACTACACACAAAATTGACAGTTAAGGAAATGGCAGTGCATGAATTAAAGGATGAGGAGGGGTACGCTGATTGTGATTGTACGTGTGTGTGAGTGTGGGCGCGTTTGTAGTGACAAAACTGATGGCAGTACATTTTTACATATTTTTTCAATGTCAACAAGAAAATAAACGTCAGTAGACAAGTGAAGTGATTAAAATAACAGAAAGAGGAAACAAAATAAACGAAAGCAGCAACAACAACAGCAAAATACTCGTACAACAACAAGATGTACATACAACATGTAAATAATGTTGCGCTCTTGACGTGTGCTGTTGCTGTTGCTGTTTATGAATGTTGCCTGCTGTTGGTCGGGAGTCGTCGCAATGACAGTGGCAACAACATTTACATATTAAGTAGTTTTTAAATCGCTGCAGACAAACGTCAGACAAGTGTCAGCGTTAATAATTTATCATGTGAAATGGATGTTGAATGGAACATTCAATGTTTGTCTGCATAAAACAGGAGGCAGAATGTTAGGCAAACGTGGACGAAAAGCTGATTTACCAGAGTTAATTTACCAAAGTGTTAATCTTGTTAGCTGAGCGGATTGAGCGCGTGAGTGTTACTTTGTCGGTCGTGAGATTTAAGCTCAGTGACACTTATTTACTAAAAACCCTCCCATCGAAAGCTAGGGGTGCAACCGCATTCCGAAGCCGAGTGATGTGAAATCCTTTTTTTTTACCTGCAGTCACAAAAGCAGATTATTTTATCTAAACATAAATGAATGAAACTTTCACTGGCATAAAATCAAAGAGAAACCTCTAGAATTTATGTCCGACCTTCTCCTGATTGAATGATATGATGACTACCCTTCGGCAAAGTGTCTTAAAGGTCTTAATTTGATGGACGTTAATCGGAGCGACCTTCATGCTGCAGACTTTTTACAACTATGGTTTCAAAATCTACTTAAATGGGCGTGACCCCGCCTATTTATAGGTTTAATGTGCATATCTCCCAAACCACTTAAGCCAAATTAACTAAACTTGCTGAGAAAAAATATTTTAAGCATTCTCTTCAAGAGCGTGAAAATAGCTGAAATCGGATTTTAACCCAGCTCACTTCCCATATAACGGTTATAATAAAAACTACTAAAAGTGCGAGTGTATTCTAAATATGGATAGAATTGGAACCTCCCTTAATCCCCATATAAGTTACCTAATGTAAAAATTTTCGAACTTCCAGTTGACTTTAAACCGCATATATTGCTTAATGTGAATTATCTTAAGAAAATTGTAAGAGCTTATTTAACACTACTGTGAATAGAATGAATAAAATCGGGTAAAACCTTGCCCCAGCCTCCATACAACTAAAATCAGAATTTTCAAAGACCCGGTTGACTTTACTCCTTATATTTGGTGATATCTTAGTGAAACACAGAGATCATGTTTTTTTAATAATATGTGGTCTACGAACTACCCCGACTCCATATACCACATATTATGATTTTCGTTATTCTAACAAATCTCCGAATATGACGGTTAGTGTATGAGTTATATATATGTATGTATATGATATATAATTGCTAGAAAATATGTATACCCGAGCAATGTCAAAAGTTACTACAATCTGACCCTTTTTCTGTTCCCAATATACTCTAAATAGTGATTTCCGATATACCAGCTGACTTTAAATCACATATATTAACTTTTTAGATGATTTTAATATAATTTTCGTAGTCGGAAAGTAAAAAATGGCAGTAAAACTAAATGCGTCTGCGACCTATAATAGTATAAGTTAATAAGATACAAAATTTAACTAGGAGGTATTTCCCAGCTGTAATCATTGCAAGTTGCAAGAGTACGAAATGTTCGGTTATACACCCGAACTGATAGTTTTCGCATTGTGAAGCCCATAGCGCGTTCTTGAAGCAACTTGTTCTTTCGACTACTTAAAATGTTTTTTTCAGAGGTCGCATGCAGAAAATGGAATATCGAGCTCTACCGCTTTCTTTTTTCAAATTAATGAGTACCGCTCTCTGAGAGGATAATTGAAAGGCAACTAAAGCTTTTCGACTTTTTCGAGCTTTCTAGACAATCCAAAAGTACATTTACTAATTAAACACAGTAGCTTAAATAATGAAAATGAAGTAAAAGAAATAAACTTCCAACCAGAAACTACATTTACAGTTATAGCTTAACTTTAAATTTAAACAACAAATTGTGAACTCTTCTATCCCAAAGCACAACACTACAATGTCTGCTTGAACGGACTGTCTGCAAAGTTCCAATACATCAGAGATTTGCAATTTGTGTGTCATAATCATCATCATCATCACCACCACCACTACTACAACAACTAGCAACGACAACAACTTGAAAGCAGCAACATAATGAAAGTATACGCGCGAAAAGACACATTAACCGCCACTGAGCAGTATAAACCAAGTATATGTACAATAGCAACAGCAATAGCAACAACAATAACGGTAACAGTAACCAAGCACAACAACAAGTAATCAAAGCACAAACAAAACAGCTGGTGACTACATAGAGATATCAGCGTGAATTCGCACAGCAGGCAACTGCCTTCGTAACTGCATTGCAAACAGCGACAACAACAACAGCAATATACGCACTTGCACGATTGCTCGACAATTTATTACAAAGTTGCAACTTGTAAGCGCACACACTGCGCCATGCCACTTAAACTATGTGTACACTAACAAACAGGTGGCAAAAACAAGTTGCACATAAAACAAACGGAACAACAACACTTGCACACACTCACACAAATCGAATAACATATACATATACAATACTACAATAGATTATTCACAGTTGCAAAGCAGCAGACAAACAGCTGCACAGCAGCAAGCAGATTGCATGCAGCAGGCAGGCAGGCAGACAATCATCGTGCAACATGACACAAAGTGTACAGTATGCAGCGCTTTGTTTATTGCATGCACAAAATTTCAAAACCTAATAGCAACAATGCTTAACCAAAGGCGCGAAAATGTCACACTCTCGCACTCCAATTTGGGTAAATGTGCGGGAATTGAGCGCGACATCCAAACTATTGCTTCGGGCGCTTGGAGGAATTGGCTGTGGCTGTGCAGTTTTCAATGTTGCGTGAAAACTGCGAATGGAAAAGTGTTTAAACCGTAAACACGAAAAGAATAAGTGCGGAAGCGATATTGCGTTTGGGGCGCCATTCATTCATTCATGCACACGAAGCTCGAAGCAAATACGACCTTGGACAGCCAACACTAAAATAAACATAAAAAGCCACTAGTGTTGTATGATGTAATATGGCAATATGACTGAAAATTAAATTTTTATCGAGAATTTTTAAGAAATAAACTATAGCTATATTTTAGATTAGTATGCGTAGTCCAGATGCTCAGTGATGGAAGAATGGAACAGATCGGGAACAACTCCGCCCGGGCGCTAAGCTCTCAGGAGGCCCGGTGTTCTACACATTATTTGTTTCTATCATTTGTTAACAATATAATAAATTGTACTCCTGCAGACTTATCCGCCGTCATCTCAATGAAAATTATATTTTTCAGAGCAGCATCAATGTTTCTTCTGGACGCTTCCCGCTCTTACCAAGTTAACTTATAAATATATATGTACTCAGCCATGTTGTTCTCAAAAATTAATATAATATCAAATTGATGGATCTGGGACCGTCCTATATCCTACCCTAGA